TGCCATACTCGTCCAAGCCACCTGCTAGTGATGAGTCTGTCCCTTTATGACGAGGAAAACTGGGCAAACAGATGAGTTCCAGGTGTGTTCTGACAGACTGTCGAGAGCAGTTTTTCATTGCAACGGTATCACCTTGTCACGGAAAGCTAGGCAAGCTACTGATCTTATGGAAGTCGCCATAACCTTCCTCCAGTGCAGTTTTGATTTGCAAAGTTTGTAGAGACTTGATCGCCGTCGATCTATTCAGCAAACTTTCGTAGACTGTAGCAAAGAATCCGCTCTTTATCGCAAAGCAAAAATCAGCAGAGAAGCAAGTCGTTTTCATCACATCAACAAGCGAAAAACAGGGGACGACACTTTAGAATGGTGGTCTCAAAGCATGCCTTTGTCAGATTTTTTTAAGACTTCTCAGCTCTTTCCGTATAACTGGGAATCGCAAATCAGTTAAGTTCAGTATAGTGGAAATTTTCTCAATAGTTCTATGCATATGTACTTCGATTATAAACTTTTCTGGTCAGTGGCAATGTCTGATATCCGACACCACCCTCATCACCTTCAAGGGTCTTGCTATAGGTACGAGAACTTTTTGAACAACTACTTTAAAGCATATTTATTAAACACCTATTAAACACGAGTATAGGTCTATGTAGGCCGCCCGGGGAATATCCTTCGCTGATGACTGCATGTCGGTCCGCACCCTAAGGGGTCCGCCTATCTTTCAACCAGGTAATCCACTTCCACTTCTTTGACCCTTCCTCCTTTGGAGCCGACCAACACGGTGAAGAATTACGAAGAACTCCTAGTCCTCAACTACAGAGCCTCCTTTTCTTCGACAACAAGTCCTCTCCCTACGCGGGCTGACCGGCCTAACACGACGTACATGACGTACCGACATTTAGTCGACTGATTCGATGTTGCTCACCGCTAACCAGGAAAGGTCATTAGGCCAACCCGGCCAAATGAAATGAGGTGCACATTTCTGTACGCAGCATGAGACGCTGAACTCAAATCTGCTTTCATTATCTGCTGAACTCTTCTCTGAAAGGAGTTACGGAGGGTTTTTGTTGCCGCCCTTGATTTTCAGTGTCTTGCCTGCAATCACATGTTAGCTCCATTATAAAAGTATCGAAAGAAGAACCGAACAGCCGATGGGGTGAGCTTCGGTAGCGCAGTTGGTAGCGGTCTTGCTTCTCAAGCAAGGGGTTGGGGGTTCGGTTCCCCCGGGTTTGGTGTTTTGCTTTTTGTCAACATGGCTAAAAAAGCCTTTTTGAATCCGTTATATTATCAAGTGGTTGCCCGACGCTACACTACAAGAGTTTGCAAGCAAATTCTCTTAAGCTCGAGTGCTCCTTGTCTGTTAGTGCACATGGTGCCCGTAGTGCAGGTACCAGGCTTTCCCTTGGCAAGTAGGTGCGATATTCGTATTCCAGAGGGTCAAAATACCCCTTAGAACGAGTTTTTCGCCAAATCCTGAGGTCACGAAGTAATTGAGAAAAAGCGGAGCAGTGATGGGATTACCACTCCTCAAACTCCACATTTTTGGGTTGACCAATCATGGACGACGGGGGAGAGGAGAAAAGAGGGGTTCTATCTAGGAATAATGCCTTGCAGATCTTCGGATATGCAGACGGACGGACTAGCCAGACACAATTTTTGTCTATTCTGAAAAATTTAAAATTTATTCTACCCAAGTGCCAGCCTTTTGTAATGGATTGGTGGATCGGTGAGTAAGTGACTGCCCAAATTTTCGAGGTTAGGTCAAAATTTCAGAATTCGCTAGAAGTTCGCTCAAAGGGAGAGTCTGACTCCCTGATTACGAATATCATACTTGTTCGAAGCAAAAATGCCTGGCACGTGCGCTACAAGCGTCTAAACTAGTGAGCGGGGAGATGGCCGCCCAAGTTTCGCTCTTAAAGGAGGATTGCACGGAAAGAACGAAGGTCGAAGAAGGGAGAAATCGCCTAGTGGGGAGAGCGGTGAATCTCTTGAGGGTGCGGACAGACACGCAATCGGCATCGAAAGATTTGACCTCTGAGATCTAGCATGGCTCAAAGTTGGCGAGTTCGGCGATCTCCGCCCACCGATCGTCTGATCACTCGCCGTAGTACAATAGGTGGCGAGTGATTAGATAGCTGAGAGAGCGTAGGGTTGAAGAGGGCAAAGCGATGAGAGTCCCATCAATGCTCAAATCAACGGACAAGGAAGGGGTCCCATTTCTCCGGTTCTGGGCCGTTTTTCGTGGTTTCGCTTTCTTTCTGGTACTACTCACCATCTCTACCTCAATTTGGAATGGGTTGCTTTTCCATCGTAAATTCGTCCTTTAATTGCCCTTAACCTTATACGGTTAGCTATACGCAAGCATGTTCAATTACCGATGTTAGGGATCTTCCTAGCTATCTTACTGCAAACGGCAAAAGAATAAGCTCGCCAAGGAGTCGATCCCCTGACCTCTTTTTCGTGAGCCTCGACCACTGCCTCTGCGCTTTTCTGCTTCATAATTCCTTTCAGAGAAGAGTTCAGCAGATAAGGAACGCATATTTGAGCTCAGCGTCCCAAGGCGCGTATAGACATATGCATCTCATTTGAATTGGCCAAATGACCTTTCCTGGTAGGACTCATGCTTACAATTTGTCAATATTCTATCTATTAAAACTTTGCAGCTGGGGTTGTTCCAGCTGTAACATATTCGAAGATACTTTTTCCCATCAATCTTTCGCACAGCTACTCAGGGAAGAAATTCCTATACACCGTAAATCCTTGTGTCTGTAGTTATTGCCTGACCATCTGAAATTTCTTTTGCCGCGGCAAAGTCAACTGCCCACTTTTTCTATGCAGCATTTAGTCATTTTTGGCTACTTCTGCACTCCAAGAAAAGGTATATTAGCGAAACAGATCGGATCAGAACTATCTAGTTCTCCAACTTAGATCTACGTCTGAGCCACTCTGATCCGGCCCTTTGAGCTGTATTCATGACTAAATGCTCCGCGATTTCAGTAGAATGACTTACAAACAGCTCCAGCCTTTTCTCGTCTTGTCGTTGCATATCAAGGTACCAAAACAACTTGTTCAGTTTAATAGTTCCATGTTTGTAACAAGTCCGCACGCCTGCATACTGCCACTGAAAATGTGAACTGAAAATACCCGAAATTCAAAGCACTGCACGTTAAATTCAGAATAAAGGCTTAACACGTTGACGACCGCGCTCATTTCACTGTCTGGACCGCGCGCATTATTCTGACAAGCACGAATGTGACATGGCGTCATATCACAGGGCTAAACGAGAACGCCTTTTTGGAGAAATATTTGTTTGTAATCTTTCTTGTGTGGTAGTGTCAGATTTCAATCTTGGCCATTGCAGCGATATTTGCGATTTAAGAGCGCGTCTAAAGGCTAAAGCTGATGTGCGTGTAAGAAGATAGCCTCGTAGGATCACTTCCTGGTCCCTGTATTTAGAGCTTACAGAAATGGTGTTGGATTGTAATTCGGACCTATTATTTCGCCAATTCACTTCGCAGTGTCCTAGAAAGTGATATAAAAATGACGGCCCGGTGACCAACGCGGCGATCAACGGTGGAGTGTCCTAATTTGACCACTCTACTCATTGCAGTTTGGCAAGAATGACGCGAAAAGTATCTTATATATTATATAAGGCCCAGTGAAACACAAGTAAAACGTTCTCTACTTCGGATTAGACTCTCGTCATCGTCACGCCGCCATCACCGTTCGCCGTCGCCAGTTCAACGCCCAGCTCCACCACTTCGCCGCTCAATTATTCTATCTATTCTCATTCTATTCCAATAATTTATTCGCTGTTAATAGTTCTATAAAATTGCTCAAGTTGAAGAGTTCTTCTGTGGCACTCTGAGTAAAAACAGGGTACACACACCACACATCTCATTACATAATTCCAATTTTGACTACAGACTCGAAGATTTGCGGGAAATGAGGAAGGGAGGCAAAGAAAAACATTCACAACGCAAAAGCGGCTATAAGTATGCAAGATCAAAGGAAGCGCATATGCTCCGTCTCCTACCAAAAGTGTCCTCACCCGTAGTAGCAAACTATTACTACAAACATTTTTTTGTACCGATTGCTTTCAGAAAAATTATAAAAGATGTGGCTGCTGGTCATTATTCAAACATTTTTCCAAAAACTCGATAGCCCATTAACCAAAGCTTCTTTCTAGGGACCACGCTTTTTGTAGCAATGTCTAACCATGGCGTATACATCACATAAATAAGTTCACAACAACCTAAAATGTTTGAAAACCAGCTTAAGAAAAGACTATGACATGACATAATGTCACACTGTCCTGCACTGCCGAGAGTGTGGTGTTACATCATACCATTCCGTCGTCAACGTGTTAACGACCAAACCGAAAAATTAACGCTCAATGGCAAAAGATAAAACATAGTGTAAAAAGGCAACAAGCGTACAGCTGTGAAACGACTGAGACGCTCCCGAGTATGCCATCGGTCCGGCTTTGGAATAGTCTGAAATGGATGGTAGGCACTGTTGATGATTCGACGTAAGCCAAGGACAGGAGTTATCCGCATACCTGAATGAATAAAAATAAATAACCTCACTTGCTACAACAGGCTTCTTTTGCGTATTTATCTGTTTGAGCTGGTGGATTGGTTATCTGTTGCCTACAAAGAAACTCGTCACTATCCAAGAAACAACCTGAATAAACCGGGTCACATACGGAACGGTCTGGGCATCGACTAAGATGTAGGAAGCACACATCAGCAAGACAAAGCTCACTCGCCAAAACGGGCGGGCATGTACCAAAACAGGTGATACCGAAGTCAATTGCCTAATTCGCTTTCAGAACAGCTCAGAAGCAGCCGGGAAAAATGAGTGAGGTAACGCAGAGTCGCGACAGTTTCTGGAAATTCATCTGAGGTGGGTGGTGCGTTAGCAAGTAGATAGTACTTTCTGAAATATTTATAACCGGATATTTTCATGACATAAAATAGCAAAAAAAATTGGTGACGGTAAGCGCACTGAAAGGGAGCGAAGGTGCACCCATAGTGGAAGGAGTGCCACGCTCAATGTCTGTTCCAAGCAAACTATGAAATAAACATCGATGATGACAGTAGTACTAAGCACCTTGAGAAGTACGGGTCCTAGTGAATTATCACACCATGTAAAACTCATTTTCCATTGGAGTTTTGTTTTTGAGAGGTTAAGATGATGAAAAAGAAAAGGAAAAATTCATAAGCATGACAACAACATTATAATTTATCCAGATGTACAAGAGCTCTTACCAAAAGTATAAAGCATACCCAGGCAATACCACACCGGCACTGAATTTAGCACTCAGTGCGTTTGTGGTGGGGGGGGGAGGGGAGAAGACGTTCAGTCATTTGCGCCACACGTGCTTGAGATAAATCTAGGGATGGGAAGGCATCGGTAAGGGAGCTTGCGATGCCAATCTTCTTTTCCCTGGCGTCCTTCATTCTCTCCGCGAGTACAAGCAGAGGTCTACTTACCATCTGGCCATGTTTCGAAATCTCCACCCCCTCCCCCAGAAGAGAAACCGACATTCTCACTCGGCAGATTTTTGGCAAAAAGGAAATCAACATGAGTTAATGGCTTTTTTTCTCAATACCAATCCACTCACTTTACAGTCAACCAGATTGGTCCCTGTCAAACGCCGGACCTTCTTTCCCTGCGTAGCCTTTGCGTCCTCCGCTGTGGTCCCTTCCACCTGTGACGCCAACCCCTCGTGCAGTTGACGCGCATGCAAAGAAAGGCGTTTCATATAGTAGAGGGCATCGCCCTAATCATGAAATGACGGTGGAATGACGTATCAATACCTAACTACACCTAAAGTCTGTTGGTGACTTGTTTTCGCGCCTCCCCCCCACCATTCCCTTCTCTCTCAATTGCCCTAGCTACCACTACAGCACCATGTGGAATGACCGGAAGTGTACTCAGTGGGTGTTTATGTAGCCATAGGGGTATTATCATATTAATCCTATTGAAAAACAATGATAGGGCTCAAGCCTGCCTGTGAGCTACCCCATTCTGTCAACGGTTGTATATTCCACTAGCTGCCTTGTCACTCACTTCATTTTGTGGGCGGACAGACATACATACAAACCGACACACCAAGTTAGCGGTTTATAAAATGAGAAGGATTTTACATCTACACAATGATGCAGTATTTCTTCTAAAGGCTTCTTTAAGGGCTATACTGAGGTAGGTGGGCGGCTCAATGTTCACAGTAATTTGCAACGAGTCACTGAGACCAGACATCACGCTTTCTCCATGGTTTTGAGGTCATTTATTGGATAAACCTGTTTCAAGTTAGAGTAAAGCGCTGTCTTCCAATACAGGATTAATTTTTATGACTCCCGACCCCCAAAACTTTTACAAATTTGCAACACAATGAAATGCATAAAAACTCTCACCTCAGTTTTCGAGTATTCGTGGGATGTGCTTCTTCTGTAAATGTTATCCTCGTTCCAATAAGTAGAAGCTAACTATGGGAAGGCGCAATGGTCCACGCACTCCAACTAGGTTGCTCCAATCGCAATGCCGGTTGGCAGGCGGCCAAATTGCATCTACCGTGTTCTTGAACACTTTTCCACGGAGGACCCTTTAATCCCAAGATGAGCATCACAGTGAATCGATACTCATTTGGACGTCCGCCAACGATAATAAAATCGTTTTTTTTTTGGTGGAATGTGCCCACACTGTTCGGGTGTTGTGCTGCATGTTCGTCGTGAATTTTCATCTTTGAAACAGTAGACAGTAATTCAACCACGTCCAATGAGCCTTGGTCGACGTTTTGGCGTACTTTAAATAAGCCTTGATTGCTCCCCGATTAACCACTTATTCCTGTCTTTATCTTCCTGTACTTTGTTAGGGTGGCCTCTTTGCTGAATGCTTCCGTTTTATATGGTTCGTGTCTTATAATTAACTGCGACAAATTAGGGACACGTGTTTGATAATGCATCGCAATTTCTCATTGTTTCTTCGTTGTTTTTCTAATACAATTGCTTTGATTGACTCAGCCATCGTGAAAGTTGTGTATTTCTAAAGTCATGTTGTGTTAGCTGAGTTGTTCGACAGTAGTTTTTAATGCGCATTTTCTCCGTACATTTTCAGTCTGTGCTGTATTTTGCCATGATTCTGGTGCATCGTCAATAATCGAATGTTCACTCCGCAAGCTGCTCGCAGGCCGCCTGGCAGTATGCAGCCTGGTGCTCCTGTTCAAAGTCAAAGCGACATTCATGCGAAGGAAAAGTGAATGTTGTAGATTATAATTATAACTTCACTTGAAAGTTCCTCATCTTCGGTAACGGTGCTTGAAAACCCTCGTTTACATCTAATGTCATGCGCTGGTCATTGGTGATTCCCATTTCAACTTGAAGTTTTTCTTCGTATTAGAGGGTGACATGATGTCATCCGTCAGCACGCACAAGCGCTCAAGTGTCCTAATAAGTTCGCTAGTGGAGATTCGGCCACATAAATATATTGCATGAATTTAAATGGCATTCAAACTCAGTAATCTACTTGCATTGGGAAATTCGGGTGTAGTTATACGAGCATTTTCCCTCGTATCTGACCAGCTGTTAAAGTGCGGAGGGAAGCTCACGATACCAAGTGAAGAACTTGGAAGTGGAAGGGTGATGTTGGTGAATCGTGTGCAGTTGTAGTGTACAAGCGATTAGAGTAGTTGGTTGACCCCGGGTTACCTCACTATTTTTATTCTATTGAGATCAGTGTCGCATGGATTTCCTTCCTCATTTTAGACTCGCTGCCTATGTGTACGAATACTTGGTCATCTCTGGAGCTACGAAAACTGCCGAAGTGTTCAAAGAAGAAGTTTTGAATGTGAGAGCATAACTTTTCCGCACTGATCATAAAATCGCTCTTGCTTTATCTCGCAATCTTTTAGAACGTTCCCAACGGAGCCATCAAGCCCAGTGAGATTGGTCCAGGATTCTTGCAAAACTGGTGGATGTGAGTGTATACAATATTTGGTTCATGCCGTACTTCATATACTCTGTTGTAGCAGCCTTTTTCCATCCAGCTACTTTTTATAAGAGTTTTGACCCTTTTGTATTCCAATAAACTACTAATTCTATTCGAAGCCTCTACCTTATCTACTGTTCTCCAGGCTGTTTTGGGATCTTTATTGTGCAGCTCCTGAACGGAGAGATGGACCCGATGGTCAATCAACGCAGGAAGCTAAAGCCTTTCATGACTTCGTGCGTATCTCATCTTTAGGCTCACTGTAGACAGCAGGCTACAGATGTTTTGCAGACATAATTTTATCATTTTAGGGATTCGTTCCTGGTGGTTTTGGGCCGCCCGGACCAATGATGAACGGAATGCACGGTCCTGGGGTAGGTCATTTAAGTCATGTCACAATGCTTTGTTTGCTTTTCAATTTCTTCTAACTCGTCATTCATCTACTCCTTAAGGATTCTTTTTTAGTTGGTCTCATGAAGCTTGTATGCGCTCATTTGTTTCACCCATTGTTTTAACTCATGCCAGCGCGCCGCGGATTTGAGATGGCGATAGGTCGCATCTCGAGGTAATAGACGCGCAATGCGACAATGGGCATGGTGAATGCAGTGAGAGTGCCAGACGGTCAGGGTGACACAGCGCACGCACTCAGCGAATAAATCAGACGTGATAGTCAGAGATGCAGAGCCCGGTCAGTTTTGTGGTGAACGTTTCGAATTCATCGTCGAAAACATGTGAAGCGACTAGGCGTGTAGAAATAGAAGTGACAGAGTGGGAACAGTGGTCGTGAGAGTAACACCTGCGTCTTTCAATTTGCTAGCACTTACTTCGAAGGAATTTGATGTCGGTGTCGAGTCGTTGTTCATTAGCTGTAGAGTGAATTGGATAAGCCCAATCTGGCCATAAAAAATAAATGAAAGGGACCATTCCAAGCGTTGCTTTTTCCTCTGATGTGCATTTCACATTCATTTTATGTTAATCTTGAAATCTTAGACATTGGGCCGCTTGTTAATCCTGAGAAATGCGTAGTGATCATTTAGTATTAGAGTATTGTTAGGGACTCTATCCTTTCTAGACGATTTCTTGAGTTATTTTTTTTACCCATTCGTCAACTGTGATAGATGAATTCAATCGAGTAGCCTTGGCATAATCCTACGAACCGTGCAAAGAGCAGAACACTGGTGAGCAGTACTTGTTGCTATTGCGCCGACTTTTCGAAGACTGTTTTTACTCGGTCGTTCTTGCACTTAGTTTTTGACTAATCAAAACATCAATAGTGTCGAGATGCTGATCAACTGATAATTATAATTCCCTCATAGTAATTAGATTTGACAAAGGCTACTTAAATCTAAAAGGAATAGCTAATGTGCAGCTTTTACGAGAGCAGTGTTTCCGTAGCGTCGCTTTAGTAATCTGATTAGTTACCTCTTTGTAGACCGAAGTTAACCTTAAATTCGTTCGATTTTCAACTTGAGGGCGAGAAAGGGGTCGAACGACCTGCGCGTGTTTTTATCGCCACGTAATATAGGTCGCAATTTCAATACTGGCGAATAAGGTCGTATCGGCGAGGACAACGAGGAACTGCTAAGTGAACACGAAATTCGCGGGATGTGAATTTATTGTCGAACAAATGTTACTGGTTATCATTTCCTAACCTAACTTGTCATATCAAGAATC